AGCTGAGTATAGGAACTCAATGGAAAGGACTTCATGAACATACAATGGGTTATTTTAAATAATACATTGGTTGCATTTAAATATTTTTAAGAAGCATTATTAGAAACTTCTGTTTTATATGAGGAAAAGTTATCTATCCCAACTTTTCTTCTTTCAAATCTATCTAAAGTTGCCAGAACCTTAGAAATTTTTGTTTGGGATCACTAGGGAACCATATGTGTGAAATATGAAAGAAGCAGGTTGGAAATGCCTAATGTATGAAAGAGGAAATGGGAAAGAAAATTATCACCCAGCCGGGCGCGGTGGCTCAAGCCTGTAATCCCAGCACTTTGGGAGGCCGAGGCGGGTGGATCACGAGGTCAAGAGATCGAGACCATCCTGGTCAACATGGTGAAACCCCATCTCTACTACAAATACAAAACATTAGTTGGGCATGGTGGCGCGTGCCTGTAACCCCAGCTACTCAGGAGGCTGAGGCAGGAGAATTGCCCGAACCCAGGAGGCGGAGGTTGCGGTGAGCCGAGATCGCGCCATTGCACTCCAGCCTGGGTAACAAGAGCGAAACTCCGTCTCAAAAAAAAAAAAAAAAAAGAAAAAAGAAAATTATCACCCAAATAAAAGAAAAAGCCATTATGTCACATCCACCAAATAAGATGTCAGAACACAAATCTAAGGATCAGTGGACACAAGTGGGAAGGAAAGAAGCTAAAACTAAAGACCTTTATTCTTGTCTTACAAGGGGCCACAAAAGAAGTATTTGTTAAAATATGAATTCTATCAACAAGCTCTTTCCCAGGATGGAATTGAGGACAACTGCACAGAAAGAACACAATATTTCCTCCCTTAAAGTCTAGGGAAATAAAATGGTTCACGTGTATGAGGACTCCCGTTTACTAAGGAGTTCCACTCTATATACATAGCCAATTTGAAATATAATGTTAGGGAAACAGAAACAAAGATCATTAGTATAAAAATACTATGGTCATACATGATGCACACAGCAGTACCATCACTGAAACTCTTGAATAGTCTTCATTTTCACTTCCATGAGGGCATTTACCAGCAGTTAAAAAAGCAATTTGATGCCAAGCAAGACATGGTAAACTGGAGAGTGGAAAAATACTCGTGTAGGCCACAGACGGTGCAATAGGGATGGATTACTGAAGGGGCGAATGGGGTATATTTCCATACACTGGCAGATCAACTTAAAATATCTTGCTTCAATTTAAGACTGAATGTTCTTAATATGCTTTAGTTTTCCCAGAGCTTAAAGTCAATTCATTTAGGTTGTGGAAATTAACTTGAGGTTTTTCTTTCCACAGAGCAAAATTAATGAATCATCTGTCCTTGTGAAAAATTTGTGATTCTGAGAGAATTTAAAGTTAATGTTAGGAAAGGCCTGAGGTGCTACATTTAAAAGGGATTGTGGCAAAGTCTGACTTCTTTAACTACTGTCTCAACATGTTTTTCTTTTGAGGAGCAACAATTGCTAGAAGCACCAGAAACCTTCCATCGGGCACCAGAGGCTTTGGGTTATGTGCCATCAGGTCTTATCCATATATGGAATATTATTGCTCCTCAAAAGAAATGCTGTTGAGTATACAGCAATGCTGTTCACTTCTGCTTCCTCATACTCCAAGTGAAGAAAAGGAGTCCTCACTAATCTCTAGCTGATCAGACAATATTAAGAGGAAATTCTCAATAAATAATAGATTCTAGACCGCACGCGGTGGTGCACGCCTATAATCCTAGCACTTTGGGAGGCTGAGGTGGGTGGATCACCTGAGGTCAGGGGTTCAAGACCAGCCTAGCCATCACGGTGAAACCCCATCTTTAAAAAAAAAAGAAAAAGAAAAAAAATAATAATAGATTCCGGCCAGGTGCAGTGGTTCACACCTGTAATTCTAGCACTTTGGGAGGGCAAGGCAGGTGGATCGCTTGAGGTCAGGAGTTTGAGACCAGTCTGGCCAACATGGTGAAACCCCATCTCTACTAAAATACAAAAATTAGCCAGGTGTGGTGTCAGGTACCTGTAATCCCAAGTCCTGGGGAGGCTGAGGCAGGAAAATCATTTAAACCCGAGAGGCAGAGGTTGCAGTGAGCCAGGATTGTGCCACTACACTCCAGCCTGGGCGACAGAGCAAGACTCCGTTTCAAAACACAGAATAATAATAATAATAAATGGATTCCCACTGCAATAAAAAAGGGAAGGGGAGGGTTTATGGAAACTGTTTTAAATGGAAAAGAAAAGGCAAAAATTCAAAGGTTAATAATGTTTTTAAAAATTCCAGAACCAGGCTTAGTCTGTAATCCCAGCACTTTGGGAGGCTGAGGCAGTAGGATCACTTGGGGCCAGAAAGTGAAGACCAGCCTGGGCAACAGAGCAAGATCCTGTCTCCATAAAAAAAATTAAAAAATTAGTAAGGCATGGTGACATGTAACTGTAGTTCCAGCTACTCCAGAGGCTAAGGCAGGAGAATTGCTTAAGCCCAGGAGGTCAAAGCTAGCTACAGTAAGCTATAATCGTTCCAGTGCACTCCAGCCCAAAAGACAGACTGAGACCCTGTTTCTAAAAAAAAAAAAAAAAAAAATGGTCGGGCGCGGTGGCTCTTGCCTGTCATCCCAGCACTTTGGGAGGCTAAGGCGGGCAATTCACAGGGCCTAGAGATCAAGACATGTACAACATGACGAAACCCCATCTCTACTAAAATTACAAAATTTAGCTAGGCATGGTGGCATGCACCTGTAGTTCCAGCTACTTGGGAGGCCGAGGCAGGAGAATCGCTTGAACCCAGGAGGTGGAGGTTACAGTGAGCCAAGATCAGTTGCAGTGAGTCAAGACACTTGACATCCGATTTTGGGAGAGTGTCTCACATCTTTAAACTTAGAACTTTGGGAGGCCAAAGTAGGAGGATCAGTTAAGGCCAGGAGTTCAAGATGAACCTGGGAAACATGGCAAAACTCTGTATGTACAAAAAATTACCAGATGTGCCTGGGGGTGTTGGGTCATGCCTGCAATCCCAGTACTTTGGGAGGCTGAGGCAGTTGGATCACTTGAGGCCTGCAGTTCAAGACCAGTCTGGCCAACATGGTGAAACCCCATCTCTAATGAAAATATAAAACTTAGCCAGGCATAGTGGCACATGCCTGTAGTCCCAGTTACTCAGGAGGCTGAGGCACAAGAATCACTTGAACCCAGGAGATGGCAGCTGCAGTGAGCCAAGATCATGCCACTGCACTCCAGCCTGGGTGATAGAGCAAGACTCTGTCTCCAAAAAAAAAAAAATTACCAGATATGGTAGTATGTGTCTGTAGTCCCAGCTACTCAGGAGGCTAAGGTGGGAGGATCACCTGAGTCTGGGAGATAGAGACTGCAGTAAGCTGTAATCACACCACTGTATTCTAGCCTAGGTAAAAGAGTGAGACCCTGTCTCAAAAAAAAAAAAAAAAAAATTCTAACAGTGCATGAAATTTACAGCCTACATTTAGTATGAATAGTACCTATCATACTACCTTCCATTATAAACTAGAAATGTATATTTGTTCAAAGTAATGCCCACTATCTAGGGAGATGTAAGGAGTTACTCCCTGCTTTCTTTTTTTTTTTTTTTTTTGAGATGGAGTCTCGCTCTGTTGCCCAGGCTAGAGTGCCCCATGGTACAATCTTGGCTCACTGCAACCTCCACCTCCTGGGTTCAAGCAATTCTCCTACATCAGCTTTCTGAGTAGCTGAGACTACAGGTGCCCGCTACCATGCCCGGCTAATTTTTGTATTTTTAGTAGGGACGGGGTTTCAACATATTGGTCAGGCTGGTCTCAAATTCCTGACGTCAGGTGATCTGCCCATCTTGGCCTCCCAAAGTGCTGAGATTACAGGCGTGAGCCACTGTACCCTGCCTCCCTCTTTATAAGCCTTGAGATGAAAGTTAGGAAGCACATAAACACGGAGAAAGCCTCTAACTCGGGGAACAGAGGAGACGGGCCAGAGACTAGCCCCTTCATTAAACAGTAAGTGACTACAAGGACATTTGCCTCAGTCATGGTTAAATTTGAAGGGATAACTGGAAGGCTGGGGACAAAAAGGTATAGCTAAACATCACAGACACTCAGGTAATAGCTGAAATTATAGGTGCAGATAACCTAAACATTAGATGTAAACAAGGGGAATGAGTCAGGGCTCCACCAGCTTGTGCTGGTGTGCTCCTAAACTAAGTAGCATTCCTTTCTCAAACATGCAGACTGATATCCTGAAGCAATTTTCCATCCAGGTATGAAGCATGGAAGAAGAGAATTAACAATTTTTGAGGCACTCAAAAAAGAATACTATTGAATTCTCATGTTTTAACCAAACTCAAAATTATTACTCTCCAAATAAGGAATCTAAAATATTCAAACTTTTTTCTGACAATCTGAAAATAATTTCTCAAATGTTTTTGGTTTTCTGGTTTGCTCGGGGCTTTTTGCTTTGTTTTTTGAGGAGTGCTGTTGACAATAAGTATAATCTAGCAAAATTAACATTCCTTTCAGCTGTATACTGTATTCAAACCTGGTTAATACTCAATGATTAAGCAATAGTTACCCACCCCCAATTTTAAACATACATCCCTTTTATAAAGAATTTTAGATTTTTTCAAATGGATAAAATTAATACCTTATATAAAGCAGTATTCAAGGATTTTATGTCCCTGCCTCCCTAATCTCTTTTTTTTTTTTTTTTTTTTTTGAGATGGAGTCTTGCTTTGTTGCTAGGCTGGAGTGCAGTGGCACAATCTCAGCTCATGCAACCTCCGCCTCCTGGGTTCAAGTGATTCTCCTGCCTCAGCCTCCCGAGTAGCTGGTACCACAGGTGCCCGACACCACACCTGGCTAATGTTTTGTATTTTAGTAGAGATGGGGTTTCACCATGTTGGCCAGGATGGTTTCGATCTGACCCTGTGATCTGCCTGACTTGGCCTCCCAAAGTGCTGGGATTACAGGCCCTAATCCTTTCTATTTTGCCATTTTTTTCCCATTCAGCACCACATCAACATATTGTATAAATAAGTTAGCCTGCTGCTTTAAGTAAAGATCTACATTTAAGAGAGTTTTACAAGTTATAAGATGGCAACTTTTTGGCTTAGTGCATTCTCTCCCATTTATCAGTGTTAATGAGGAGCCATTCTAGTCCTGTGACATTAATACTTTTTTTTTTTTTTTTTTTTTTTTTTTTTTTTTTTGAGACAGAGTTTCACTCCTGTTACCCAGGCTGGAGTGCAATGGCACGATCTCGGCTCACCGCAACCTCCGCCTCCTGGGTTCAGGCAATTCTCCTGCCTCAGCCTCCTGAGTAGCTGGAATTACAGGCACGTGCCACCATGCCCAGCTAATGTTTTGTATTTTTAGTAGAGACGGGGTTTCACCATGTTGACCAGGATGGTCTCGATCTCTTGACCTCGTGATCCACCCACCTCGGCCTCCCAAAGTGCTGGGATTATAGGCGTGAGCCACCGCGTCCAGCAATACTTTTTTTTTTTTTTTTAAGAAATGGGGTTTCACCATGTTGGTAAGACTGGTTTCAAACTCCTGACCTCGTGATCTGCCCACCTTGGCCTCCCAAAGTGCTGGGATTACAGGCGTGAGCCACCATGCCCGGCCCATTAATACTATTTCAATGCTAACACTGTACAAGATGCTTAAAAAAAAAAAAAAAAGAAGAAGAAGAAGAAGAAGAAGAAGGCATTAAAAATAAATAAATAAATAAAATAAAATGGCTGGGTGCAGTTGCTCACACCTGTAATCCCAGAACTTTTGGTGGCCGAGGTGGGTGGATCACGAGTTCAAGAGATTGAGACCATCCTGGCCAACATAGTGAAACACTATCTCTACTAAAAATACAAAAATTATCCAGGCATGGTGGCAGGTGCCTGTAATCCCACCTACTTGGGAGGCTGAGGCAGGAGAATCGCTTGAACCAGGGAGGTGGAGGTTGCAGTGAACTGAGATCACCACTGCACTCCGGCCTGGGCAATAGATGGAGACTCCATCCCCCTACCAAAAAAAAAAAAAAATTTACATTGTAAAGGACAATATAGATCAATATCAAAACATCTCTGGTAGGCCGGGCGCGGTGGCTCACGCCTGTAATCCCAGCACTTTGGGAGGCAGAGGCGGGTGGATCACGAGGTCAAGAGATCGAGACCATCCTGGTCAACACGGTGAAACCCCGTCTCTACTAAAACTACAAAAAATTAGCTGGGCATGGTGGCGTGTGCCACCTACTACTCAGCTACTCAGGAGGCTGAGGCAGGAGAATTGCCTGAACCCAGGAGGCGGAGGTTGCGGTGAGCCGAGATCGCACCATTGCATTCCAGCCTGGGTAACAAGAGTGAAACTCTGTCTCAAAAAAAAAAAAACAAAAAACAAAAAACATCTCTGGTGAAGCATGGTTTTCAGAAATTCACTTTAGTCTTTTTGTTGTTGTTTTTAGCAGAATTTATATTTGCCCAGAGCCAGTTTAATTTTTTCAATTATTTTTACTTTATGTTAATAAAAAAAATTTTATTCTAGAATGTAATTAATAATCTTTGAAGAGACTAATATAGGATATTCATCTTTAGTACTGAAAAATATTATATATATTGGTAGTGGTTTTCTAAAATGTTGCCATCCCTTATTGCAATAAAAACAGAGTTAACAATGTAAATACTTTTATTGGCCAACAATTAGGGGAAATAAAGAGGTAAATCCAAGACACTTAGCGTTCAGTAAAACGGGTTTTGTTTCATTTGGGCATACATTTACTTGTAAAGATGAGTATACTCTGGAGAATGCTACTTTGTTAAAATTGGCATTTTCTACTGGGCTGGTGACTCACACCTGTAATCCCAGTGCTCCTGAGGCTAAGGTGGACAGATCATTTGAGGTCAGGAGGTTGACACGAGCCTGGCCAACACGGTGAAACCCTGTCTCCATTAAAAATGCAAAAATTAGCCAGCTGTGGTGTGGTGGTGCATACCTGTAATCCCAGCTGCTCAAGAGGCTGAGGCAGGAGAATCACTTGAACCCAGGAGGCAGAGGTTACAGTGAGCCGAGACTGCACCATTGCACGCCAGCCTGGGCAACAGAGTGAAACTCTGCTTAAAAAAAAAAAAAAAAAAAAGAAAACCTGGTATTTTCTAAAAGTAAAATAACATAGTAATATATCAAAAATAAAAGCAGTAACAAAAAATATTTGGCTAGATTAGAAAAGAAAAATTTTTATATAAAGCTGTTTTCAGATAATGAATAAAATTATTACAAGAATATTTCAGAAGTCAGTTGTATTATTACTAATAAAGTATTTAAACTATTATTATTATTGTTTTTTGAAATGGAGTTTCGCTCTTGTTGCCCAGGCTGGAGTGCAATGGTGTGATCTTGACTCACCGCAACCTCCACCTTCCAGATTCAAGTGATTCTCCCGCCTCAGCCTCTGAGTAGCTGGGATTACAGGCATGCACCACCATGCCCAGCTATTTTTGTATTTTTAGTAGAGACGGGGTTTCTCCATGTTGGTCAGGCTAGTCTCAAACTCCCAACCTCAGGTGATCCGCCCCGCCTCAGCCTCCCAAAGTGCTGGGATAACAGGCGTGACCCACCGCGCCTGGCCTTAAATTATTTTTAAAAATGGATACAGAGCCTTCAAAATCAGCTATTTCATTAAATCTGTTTGCTGAAATTTGAACATCACTGCTTGTTCCATTCTTTGCTCTTTAGACATGACTTTCCCCTCAAAACATACGCTCCATCCTTCCCACCTCCTACACCTATTCCATGTCCCACCCTTCTCTCATCTGACCCAAAATACATTCCTACTACTTGCTCATTTATTCCAATTTCTCTCAGCGTTTGTCTACCACTTGTAATGTATGAAATACTTTGGATTCACTTATGTGTAATTTATTAGTATTTACAAACTCATTTTGGGTACTTCTTAAAAGTAAAATCTTTGGGACTTATATATTCTACTTCCCTCAGAGTATCTAACAGAGTGTAGTTATTCAGTATGAGTTGATTAATTACACTCAGCTTTGGATCCAGCATGGAAAAAAACAAGGAAAAGACTGGGAGACATTAACTGGATAACCTCCAGACAGATGCAACAACACAGAATCCAGAGCACAATTTTCCTGAAGATTAAGCCAATCATAACAATAAATCCTGTTAGTCTTTAGACTCGCTAGCTTCTTAACCCAAACTGATCCACCAGAGAGGCAGTCTATTATAATGGTTAATATCCAAGGCTATGTAGTTTGAGAAATCTGAGTAACTAATCTTGCCTCTATCACCTACAAATGGCATGGCCTTGCACTGATTGTTTAATCTTCCAGGACTCAATTTCTTTACATTTTAAATGGGGATGATGCACCTGAGTCACAGGGCTGTTAAAAGAATAAGTTGTGATAATAAACATAAAGAGCTTAGCAGAGTACCTCTTAATAAATGTTATTATTATTTATTTCTATTCCTTTCATTTTTAAAAATTTACAGCTTAGCTACAATTTTTTTTTTTTTTTTGAAACAGGGTCTTGCTCCATTGCCCAGGCTGGAGTATAGTAGCTCAAACACAGCTCACTGCAGCTTCAATCTCCGAAGTTCAAGTGATCCTTCCACTTCAGCCTCCCTAGTAGCTGGACCACAGGTGCTCGCCACCACACCTGGCTCATTTTTTTTTACATGTTTTGTAGAGCCAGGGTCTTGCCACGTTACACAAGCTGTTAATGAATTACTGGGCTCAAGTGATATCACCTGGACCTCCCAAAGTGCTGGAATTACAGGTGTGAGCCAACACGGCCTGGCCAAAAATATTTTAAGCTCTATAGCCTGTTATAGTGAACATAAGTTAGCCTAGCAACTGCCCCACTCCAGATTATGAGTCTGATAAGGCTACCAACCTCAATACACCAGGGATGGGCACGTGACACAGGTCTAGATTGCAGTCTCCATCATTTTGGTAATAGTGATAAGTCTAAGGAACTGGCAAAACAGAACTATTGAAGTTCTACCTCCAAACTGATAATGTGAGTAGTAAAAGAACCTTCCAGTTTTTCTTATAGGGGTTAGTTATTAAGTTAAGGCAATATATTCCTAGAGCTACAGGCACCATGTTAGCTGGCTATACAGAATTAGACCCTTCACAGCAGGAGATGTTGCAGCCAAGATAATTTCAGCCTTTGGATCCCACTGCACCTAAACCTAGATCCACCCCCAGTCTCAGGAGTTACATAAGGCAATACATTCCACTTCTGCTTAAATTAGTTGGTTTTGGGTTTCTGGAACCAAAATAATTCTTACTAAAAAAAAATTGCAAGCCAGGGACAGTAGTTCACACCTGTAATCACAACTACTCCAGGGGTTAAGGCAAGAGGATCACCTGAGCCCAAGAGTTCAAGGCTGCAGTAAGCAATGATCATGCTATTGTACTCCAACCTGGGCAACTAAGTGAAACTGTCTCTAAAAAAATAATGACAATAAATACTTTTTTTAAGTTAAAAATAAATTATGTATGTCTACTTTGATAGACAAAAGATTCTTCTCCATCTCTCTGACTTCAAGAGCTGTCCCTGAGCTTTACATACTTTTGTTGTTCTACCTATTATATATATATATATATATATATATATATATATATATTTTTTTTTTTTTTTTGAGACGGAGTTTCACTCATGTTACCCAGGCTGGAGTGCGATGGCGCGATCTCGGCTCACCGCAACCTCCGCCTCCTGGGTTCAGGCAATTCTCCTGCCTCAGCCTCCTGAGTAGCTGGGATTACAGGCACGCACCACCATGCCCAGCTAATTTTTTGTATTTTTAGTAGAGACGGGGTTTCACCATGTTGACCAGGATGGTCTCGATCTCTTGACCTCGTGATCCACCCGCCTCGGCCTCCCAAAGTGCTGGGATTACAGGCTTGAGCCACCGCGCCCGGCCCTACCTATAAAATATTATCTTAATGCACATTTACAAACTTGCCTGAAATCCATAGAAATGTGATGTTCGAAATACCACTAAAATGGCTGGATGTGGTGGCACACACCTGTAAATCCAACACTTTGGGAGGCCAAGGTGGGTGAATCATGAGGTCATGGGAGGCCAAGGAGGGTGAATCATGAGGTCAGGAGTTTGAGATCAGCCTGGCCGATATGGTGAAACCCCATCTCTACTAAAAATACAAAAATTAGGCCGGGTGCCATGGCTCACGGTGTCAGGAGATTGAGACCATCCTGGCTAACACAATGAAAACCTGTCTCTACCAAAAATAAAAAAATTAGCTAGGCATGGTGGCATGTGCCTATAGTCCCAGCTACTTGGGAGGCAGCAGAATTGTCTGAACCTGGGAAGCAGAGGTTGCAGTGAGCCGACACTGTGCCACTGCACTCCAGCTTGGGTGACAGAGCAAGACTCTGTCTCCAAAAAAAAGAAAAAAAACCCCACTAAAACAAATACTGAAAATAATTTATTATTCACTTGACATGTCAAGCATTTTTAAAAAGCTCCAACGAGCTCACCTGTACCTAAGCAAATTTATTATTCTGACTTTCATTTTACAGCTGTCTGTAATGTTTCTAAATCTCTTCATATGGTGGTTTCTCATTTAATCTCTATTATCATCTTCTGATGGTTTTAGAACAATGTAATGAATGTCTACTATTTATGCCTGCCTAGCATCCACTTCCCATTCTTCTGTTAACATCACCTTAATTCTCCTTTGAGAAACCCCTACTTTTAGTCCATGTGGTTCTAGGGAAATTGCCCCATTCCCTGGGTACAGGTCTGAGGTGACCTGATACAGGCCTGGCCAATCAGAACATCTGGTACCTCTTGGCCATATGACTGAAACATAGATGAGTAAGGCCCAGTATTTTTGGTTGGAATGATTGTGAAAGAGATATTACAAAGTGATCAGTTCTCGCCAAATTAATTTATAGATTTAATACAATTTTTATCAAAATTCCAGAGGATTTAATAATAATAAAATCATTCCAATATTTATCTGGAGAAATAAGTAACTCTACTATACCAGCCAGCAATTGTCTCTTGTTATTTTTCAAATTTTTATTGGCTGGTACGGTCCACTTCAATTACCAGATACAAGTTACAGCTACAAAATACAGTACGGTATGTTACAAAACACTAAAATGGAATATAATAGATACTCCAGAATCAGTGCAGAGAATATAAAAAGTGCTATTTAGAAAGGTGTATTTCAAATCAACAAGGAAAGGACAGGTCATCTCATCCCAAGAGGGGCAGATGTGCAGCATGCATATTGTACCCCATCCTCAGGCACACTCACTGCAGATATCACTAATTAAGCACAGCACTTGTTCCTGCTCAACCTAGAAACAGCCTTGGATCTTTCCCCACATGGCACTCTAGGCAGCCACCACCAATCTATCAGACTAAGCATGCAAGAGGATTATTTCACAAATAATGCTGAGGCAATCAGTTAACTATTTGGAAAAATAAATAAAGTTAAGCCACTACTGCATACCATATGCCAAAATAAATTCTACATAGATTAAGAAGTTAAATGTAAGAATTGAAACCATAAAAGGACTGGAACAAAGCTGTTGCAAGAGACATTCTCAGAGACAAACAGAGAAGCTCTGCAGTGAGAAGAAATGCGGGAGAATAAGAGCAAGTGTCCTCAAGCACTGCCTTGGGTTCCTGACATTTCTGAGGCCCAGCTCTTCCTGAAGTCCTGACACCTGTCTGGCTCTTTATAACACCTCAATCCTTTTTCTTTTTCTTTTCTTTTTTTTTTGAGACAGAGTCTTGCTCTGTTTCCCAGGCTGGAATGCAGAGACACCATCTCGGCTCACTACAACCTCCGCCTCCCGGGTTCTTACAACTCTCCTGCCTCAGCCTCCTGAGTAGCTGGGAGTATGGGTGCACGCCGTTGCACCCGGCTAATTTTTGCATTTTGTATTTTAGTAGAGACGGGGTTTCACTGTGTTGCCCAGGCTGATCTTGAACTCCTGAACTCAGGCAATCCGCCCGCCTTGGCCTCTCAAAGTGCTGGGATTACAGGCATGAGCCACCGCGCCCAGTCCACACCTCCATCCTTTTATTTCAACTAGTTTAAATGGGTTTCTGTGTTTTGAAACCCAAGGAGCCTTGAAAAAGGCATTTTCTTTCTTTTTAAAAATTTTGTTAGTTGAGCAATTCATTTTACTATAAATAAATAAGTATAGGCCAGACACGGTGGCTCACACCTGTAATCCCAGCCCCTTGTGAGGCGGAGTCAGGCAGATCACCTGAGACCAGCCTGGCCAACATAGAGAAGCCCCATGTCTACTAAAAATTACAAAAATTAGCCGGGCGTGGTGGCACATACCTGCAATCTTAGCTACTTGGGAGGCTGAGACAGGACAACTGTTTGAACCCAGGAGGTGGAGGTTGCAGTGAGCTGAGATGGTGCCTCTGCACTTCAGCCTGAGCAACAGAGTGAGACTCTGTCTCTTAAAAAAAAAAAAAAAAAAACAACAACAAAAAGATACTGAGTCTTTTTCAATGAAAAATTAAAGCTTCCAATTTTTCTAAATGTGAAGTGTAACTTTTTTTTTTTTCAGATTTAAAATAGAGATGGGGTCTCACTAGGTTGACCAAGATGATCTTAAACTCTTGGCCTCAAGTGATCCTCCCGCCTCTGCCTTCCGAAGTGCTGAGATTACAGGCATGACTCACCACACCTGCCTAGGTGTAACATTTTATATGCATGACAGATTAAATTCAAAAATACACTGATCAACTTTCTCATCTATTTCATTAAGCTGACTTTTCATGAAACATTCAAAACAATTCACAAATTTTAAAGCAAGAGGGTCAGAAGACAGCAAAAAGAAAAATGTTACAGAAAAGTCAAAGCAATAAAAAAATTTCATTTCACATATTCTCAAATAATTGTAGCATTCTAACGTCTTGGGGGCCAGATATAAAGTCACGTTTGAATTTTATAATTCTTTTATCATTTCTAAAACACAAACCTACTGCTAGCCTAATCGCTAGCACTTTGTTCATATATAAAAGTATTTCATGAGTTTTGTTTTTACACTAAAATCAAACACAAGTTTTATTAAGGAATCAGTGCATATTCCTCAGAAAGACACTTAAATAAAGTAACCAAATCAACTGTATTTCTCCAAGCACAAAATAATAAACCTAACTGACCACACCATCATTTCTCCAAAGGAATTCAAAAGCTCCTTTATCTAATATAGAAAAAAGACCCTTTAAAGGAAGAATATGCTCTCATCCATGTGACTGGATATAGTGTAATGTTTATAAATTAAAATTTTTCTTCTCAATTCCCAGACAGCAAACAGAGTTACATGACTTAGGTGCTTTACAACAAAGTTGAACAGTATGAGAGTAACACTCTCCAAATTATTCCCCTTTTCCACTAGTAACCATTCTTCTACTGTCCCTGGATAGAAATCTCAGGGCTAATTCACTATATCCAATCAGCCACTGTATCCTATCATTTCTTTCTTTAAAAGTGTCTCTCAATTTTTCTACCCTAGTGTTTCTGAGGGATCAAACCCTGTGCCAGTAACAAAAACTCACTGCAAAAGATTCTCTGGAAATACCAAATTTTTGGGTGCACGGGCAGTTGGAAGGAGAGGAAACTTCTCAGTGGACTCTGAAATGAATGTCCCCTGACAAGAATCAACTGCTTTAAAGCATTTCTTGAATTGAATCCTCTGCTCTATTCCCACGGCCACTACACCACCCGTTCCAAAGGTGATCACCTCTGGCTTAGATTACTTTTCACTACAACAGCTGCAGTTTTTCCCACCTTTGGTCTTTCCTCTTTGCATTGCATCCAGTGCTTCCACTGCTGCCAACCCAAAATTCTGTTCCTATCACATCACTTCCTGGATCAAAAATGAATTACATCAGTTTCCCACCTCTTCTATCTCTTCAACCTCTCACTCTTTCTGTTGGTTGGCCTTTTCTCTTGCTATACACATATGTCCCGATTATTTCCCGATTTAAAACAAAACAAAATAAAAAACCACCAATAAAGTAAAACGTTTCTTGGACATTTTATTTGACTCTAGGTACTGCCTTTGCCTTTTTTTTTTTTTTGAGACAGGGTCTTGCTCTGCTGTCCAGGCTGGAGTACATGGCACAATCATGGCTTGTAGCCTTGACCTCCTGGGCTCAAGCAATCCTCCCACCTCAGCCTCCTGAGTAGCTGCAACTACAGGTGCATGCCACCACACCCAGCTAATTTTTGCATTTTCTGTAGAGATGGGGTCTTGCCCAAGCTGTTCTCAAACTCCTGGCCTCAAGTGATCCTCCCACTTTGGCCTCCCAAAGTGCTCAGATTACAGATGTAAACCACTATGCCCAGCTGCCTCTGTCTCTTTTATTTTGCTGAAAAGTTTTTTTAGTCCACAGCCGGGCACGGTGGCTCATGCCTGTAATCCCAGCACTTTGGGAGGCTGAGGCAGGTAGATCACCTGAGGTCAGGAGTTCGAGACCAGCCTGACCAACATGGAGAAACCCCATCTCTACAAAAAATACAAAAAAATTAGCCGGGCATGGGGCACATGCCTGTAATCCCGGCATAGTCTACTTACTGCCTTCTGCTCCTGTCACTTTGCTGAAACTGCTCTTATGAGGACTCCAATGGTTTTGTACTCTAATGACCAAGCCCAATGGACTTTTTAGCTCTCAACTTCCTTGAATTCTGTAATATCTGAAGATGCCAATCACTCCCAACTCCTTGAAATTCTTGTCTATCTAACCACCACTATAAACTTTTCTCCAGATTGTCCTCTTAAGTCCTGGACCATTCGTCTCCAGATTCTTCTTCCTTTACCTGGTTTTAAATGTAGGGGTTCGGCAGGATTCCATCCTAGTTCTACTTCTCAATTTGCACTCTTCTCTCTTGACGACTTCATCTACACTCATGAGTCAATTACTACTTCCACCCTGACATCTGGTAAATCTTCATCCCAGCTTACATTTCTCTTGGTTACAGACCTGTACTTCCAGCCAGCTACTGACCTTTTTCTACTGAGATGTCACACAGGTAATTCAAATTAAACATGCCCCACACTAAACTTACCTTCACTCAGAAAACTAGGTTGTCCTCTGTTCATTTTGGTTTCAGTTATCCAGCTTTCCAAGCTAGAAATCCAGAAGTTACCTCCATTTCTTTCTCTTCAGACCTCAAACATTCAGACCTGTTCTTTTCTTTCTCGCTATTTCTCCACTTCACACTGTCCTATCCAGTCTCACTATCCTTATGGTGTTGCAATTAGCCTCCTAACTGCTTTTCCTTACTTGATGTCTGGAGATCCTATACTCCATCTGCCACTCTCAACTTTCTAAAACATTTTCCCTCATTTAAAGCACTTCGGCAGCACCCTGTGGCCTAAAACTTTTTCAGAGCACATGTACATCAGTAAAAATTTGAGTATATATCTTCAATCTATGAATATTTATTAACGCATATATACTATAAACCATATGTAAAATACAGAAACCAATAAAGACTGAGATACAGAAAAACAAAGATATAAACATAATCCAGATGAAGTCATTCTATCTAAATGTCATATAGTAGCTACTATATGACTCAAAGTACAATACATTCTTAAGGTGAAGTTCATTATTGATGATAATGTATATATATCAACATTTCAAATAGTCTTCTTGACAATTCATTTTTTAAGCTGACACCTTGACAGATTATAATTACCTTGACAAAGAGCTCCCACCAGGAGGAGAAATGTCAGTTCTAACTTTTTTTTAATGTTTGCAGTGCTAGAATTTTCTTCAGTGTACTATTTCTTTGTGCAAATCTCTAAGCCACTTGTTCATTTTGTGAAAATTAATGTAACTAAAAAAAGATAATATAAATCCACTCAACCAGGCTCAAGTAAACTGCAACAAGTAGCATTCTGGTAACAGCAGCCAAACTGGTAAGGTCACCACTGTCAATTCCTCGGCTTTGTGAAGCTTCTGTTCTGTCACTTTGCTGAAATTGCTCTTATGAAGGCTCCAACAATCATAAGACATCAGCTTGTATAAAAAGTGGGTAATGGCACCATCTTATAAGACTGAGCAAGAGAACCAGTGTTATCTATAAATTAAATATTAATAAGGCTCTATTTCTTTATATTCAAGTTGAAAAAGTAAATATAAACCTCATTTAGAGACAATTGCTTAGCACCACATACAAGGCTCTCAAAGACCTGGCCTCTGCACACCTTTCCAGCCTGCTCTCCAGACACACACTTCCTGTACCTTACCACACTTTACTTGTCTCAAAAAACCAGCTACTTATCACTTTCTTACCTTCAACATGCTGTCCTTTGCACTCCTACCTCCAACACCCTGTGTTCGCACCTCTATTAAAGCCTCTATCACAACGTGCAATAACTGTTTCCTTACTAGCCTAAAAAGAGATTACTCCCAACTTGGAATTGCCAGCATCTACCACAACACTTTGTTTGCAGTAGGTACTTAATAAATGCTGAAAATGGTCCAAATTCCTTTGGCTGGCTTTCCATAACTTGTATAATCTGCCTTCAATCTATCTGCCCAACTTTATTTTCCTCCCTCAAGTCCATACCAGTTAGCCATTCCCCTCACTTCATATCATATGTCATGCTCATTTTGGCTTTTGCTCAGGCTGTACCCTCAACTTGAACTGACTTCAGTCTACAGAGCAGTAGCCTTGTCCTTCAAGCCTGAGATCAAATCTCCTTTCCCTAGGAAGTCATGCTCAATTATTTCATCCCCCAATTAACCATTCCCTTTAGTGAACTCTCGAAGACTTTTACACACTTTAGCAATTATTTTCTATGGGGTAGTTTTCCTTTTTTTTTTTTCCTTTTTCTTTTGAAGACAGGGTCTTGCTCTGTCACCCAGGCTGGAGTGCAGTGATATGATCTGCAACCTCTGTCTCCCAGGTTCAAGTGATTCTCTTGCCTCAGCCTCCCGAGCAGCTGGGTTTAAAGGCACACACTTCCAAGCCTGACTAAACTTTGTATTTTTAGTAGGAACAGGGTTTCATGTTGGCCAGGCTGGTCTTGAACCCCTGACCTCATGATCCATCCACCTCAGCCTCCCAAAGTGCTGGGATTACAGACATGAGCCACCACGTCTGGCCTATGGTGTACTTTTCTTTCCCCAGTTTCTAATTATTTGATGCCAAGGATCATCTTCATTTTACTTAGCACACTGATCTCTCACAGCACACTGCAACATAACAAGACACAGGAGGCTGGGCGCGTTGGCTCAAGCCTGTAATACCAGCACTTTGGGAGACCAAGGCGGGCGGATCACGAGGTCAAGAGATAGACACCATCCTGGTCAACATGGTGAAACCCTGTCTCTACTAAAAATACAAAGCATTAGCTGGGCATGGTGGTGTGTGCCTGTAATCCCAGCTACTCAGAAGGTTGAGGCAGGAGAACTGCCTGAACCCAGGAGGCAGAGGTTGCGGTGAGCCGAGATCATGCCATTGCACTCCAGCCTGGGTAACAAGAGCGAAACTCCGTCTCAAAAACAAAAACAAGACACAGGAGACACTAAAGATCTGATTGATTAGTTGTAGGTAGCCCAGTCCAGGGGAGGAAGCACTGGACTGGGTTTTAGTCCAAGTTCTACCACTAATTTGTCAGGTGACCTTAGACATGTCACTTAAACTCCGGTTGTTCATTCCTCATCTATAAGATCAAACATTACTTGGGCCGGGCACAGTGGCTCACATCTGTAATCCCAGCTCTTTGGGAGGCCAAGGTGGGTGGATCATGAGGTCGGGAGTTCAAGACAAGCCTGGCCAAGATGGTGAAACCCCATCTCTACTAAAATACAAAAATAAGCCACGCATGATGGTGGGCACCTGTAGTCCCAGGTACTCGGGAGGCTGAGGCAGGGAACTGCCTCAGCCCAGGAGGCGGAGGTTGCAGTGAGTCAAGATCACACCTCTGCACTCCAGCCTGGGCAACAGAGTAAGACTCTGTCTAAAAAAAAAAAAAAAAAAAAAAAAAAAAAAAAAAAAAAAAAAAAAAA